GAGCATTAAGACCGGTTGACAAATTTTTCCCCCGTCGGTTTTCCGCAGCTCTGTTCATACGCTCACTGGCAGCAGCAAGGGCAGTTTGGAAGAGCCTCAGCATTCCAGGGGTACGATGTTTTCTATAGGCTAGGCCTAGTCTGCGAGCATACGTTTTTAGTGTACGAAGTTTAGAATCATTGTAATAAGTATGGTTTTTGAAGGAGGTATGATTATTATGGAGGTTTGTTGGGTTTAGAGTACCAAGAGGTTGCAGTGGCGGCTCTAAGTAGTTCTGAATACTGCTCACAAGGTCATTGTTAAAGGTCTCTACAGAGGAACACTCATAGGAATTATACCAGTCAGTCACACGTGCAACAAAGTCATCATGCTGATCTGTGGGAACATTAAAACGTTTCCGTTTGAATATCCCACCAGGAAGGATAGTATTACCAATATCTAGAGAGGTTAGCCTAGGAAAGTGCATTTACATACAAAAATATTTGTATCAGTTAATACTAAACACAAAATGTCTTGGAGGACTGATACAATTGGTAATTTGGTAATATTTGTTTTCATCCTCAGTTGCTCGTTAGCAAAATTATTCTATTCATTTATAATTATCTCTGTATTATTTCTCCATTTCTTGTAGCAATCATGTGGAAAACAAGAGAGGAGGTCACAATTTCCTCAGGTCTGTACAGCTGAAAACCCTCGTACTCCAAATTTCTGTTACTTTTATAGGCATCTAATTTTTAATGGTTGGCTTTTATATACTTACAGAAATTAAATTCTCAAATTGTGAAAGCGTTGAATATATTAACTCTTTTTTTTCAACATTTTCTGACTAGAATATAGGAATATAGGAAAGAGCAACAAATAAATGGTAATAAAATATTATAGCAAACTTTTAAATAAAGACTGAAAATTCACCAAATTTACTATAAATGTATTAATGGGCCTTTGCAAATAAAATTATATAAAAAAACACTTAATTATTGAAAAAAAAATCTCAAAATGCATAATTAAATGAACATTTTCGTGTTAACAGATTCGGACGCAGCAACTACGACGACTATGACAACAATGGCAACGAGGAACTCACTAATTCGGTTGAGAAACGAAGTCGCAACTTTCTACGTTTCGGTCGCGATTCTTCACGCAATTTCCTGAGGTTCGGTCATGATCCTTCACGCAATTTCTTGAGGTTCGGTCGTGATCCTTCACGCAATTTCCTGAGGTTCGGCCGTGATCCTTCACGCAATTTCTTGAGGTTCGGCCGTGATCCTTCACGAAATTTCCTGAGGTTCGGCCGTGATCCTTCACGCAATTTCTTGAGGTTCGGACGCTCCGTCATCTGTCAGCTCAGTTCCCAACCACAAGATGGCTGCGGTGTGAAATCCAAATTCCTGGAAAACATATCTGAACAAGTGCAGCAAAACCCATCATCGTCCAACAACATTAATTCCTTAGAATCAGGGAAGATAACTTCTCAGCGCTGGAAGAGAGCTGTTCCAGGTGTATATTACAGCCCCTCCGCCTGGGCCAGAAATATCCGTCCAGAAGATGAAATGATTAACGAATTCTCTTCTGAGGATACAAAGGACGTAAACAAACGTGGGTATAACCGAGGCTTTTTGCGCTTCGGCCGCAACCACAACTTTCTGAGATTCGGCAAACGTGATGGATTTGTCGAACACCCAGCATCATCCTCTGAAACCAGCGAGTCAGTGCTGGATAATAGACCTGTGAGAGCGCCGACCAGAAATTTTATTAGGTTCGGTTGAAATGGAAGATGAGACCTGATTCCACACTAATCTATGACAGTTAATTAGTGACAATTGACATTGTCATGACATTGTTATACCCAGTATTATAGCCTCGCCCTTAAATCTGCCGCATATGTCTAGATAATTTATATTTTCTTTGATTTTATTTTACATCATCTTTCAAAGAAATCTGTAGTTACATTAAGTAAGAAAGAACTTTGATTCAGTAAATACATAACTGTGTACAATACATAAATATTAGTATTGGATTCTAATATGAAATGAATATTCAGATAAAATGCAAATAATGTTAAGTGAGGAACCAGCAGCTCTGTACATATATAAAATTGAGTCTCATATATGGTGATTTCGTAGGTAATTTGATGTTCTTTACGTAATGGGTGAAAAATGTTTTTTACTTATCAAACAGGAATAACAATGTAGCAATGGTCCTTTTAGAGTTATTAAAATATATTAAAAATCTTGATTCTTAGTATCCCATTTATAAGTACGGAAAAAATTATTTTTTATATCTACAAGTTTAAATTGTGTAGTTCAAACGTTGTATATCTTTCGTGTGAATGTTTTAATCTTTAATATAATTTTGTGTTAAAAATCTCTAAAGTGGTGTACAATAAGAACAATGAATATAGTCGAAAATAATTGAATTTTTAATATTAATTTCTTAAAATTACCAAGTCTTACAATAAACCAACGTAAGCATAAATAATATTACGTAATACCAACACTAATTCAGATTCAAGTCTTTACAAGACCGGGTCACAACTACTTGGAAAAGACCCAGGCCGGGAAAGTACTGGCGAATATAAAAAATATATATATAGATTACATGCAAACACAGTTAGGTTTACCTGGAGTTTACCTGGTGAGGGTTTCGGGGCTCAACGCCCCCGCGGCTCGGTCTGAGACCAGGCCTTATGGTGGATCAGGGTCTGATCAACCAGGCTGTTACTGCTGACTGCAAGCAAGCTGATGTACGAGCCACAGCCCGATTGTCCAGGTACTTACTTTAGGTGCCTATCCAGTGCCTTCTTGAAGACTGCCAGGGGTCTATTCGTAATATTCCTTATGTATGCTGGGAGGCAGTTGAACAGTCTTGGGCCCCTGACACTTATTGTGTTTTCTCTCAATGTGCAAAAGAAACCTACGTGTATGGTATGCATTTCAGGCAAACTAATTCTAATGCTTAAAGACTACTTACGATGTAGACATCGAATATTATGTAGGATTTGTATAATTAACTATTAAATGTATAATACTCAAGCTAGTTAAATACACAATGGTACAATTTTAAGGGCACGTCCTGTTATTTCAAGCTGATTCACTGGTCTTAAGGAATGACTGAATATAGATAGTGAAGATGAGTAAATATTTTTCTATGATAGTTGAAGGAAGACTACAAGAAGAGGGACAAAGCTGGCATAGTCGTGGATCGATCCCGTACTAACTTGGCGAGCCTCGTGGGAAGCGAGACAAAATCCTACAAACACTATGCAACCAATAGGACTGGGCATGATTCATAGAGCTTGTTTTAGTTTAATATGTTTATTATGCACCCCATACTCATCCTGTGGGTGGTAGTCAAATCATTACAGAGGTACATAATGGGTCCAGGGACTGTACCCCAAAGTTATGATAGCTGAGCAAGTTACAAAGGTAATGAACTCCAGGTAGACCTGGTCACAATCGTGGCAAGTTACAAAGGTAATGAACTCCAGGTAGGCCTGGTCATAATCGTGGCAAGTTACTAAGGTAATGAACCATCTACGCTCTTATATTTGGTTGCAATCATGAACAAATTATAGTGATGAGCTACTGACACGTCCACACCCGGTCACAACTGTAATGAGTTAGTGAGAGGACATATGTGGCCGTGGTGAGCTCAGAGCAATTTTCAATCCCATTTGAATACGTCTCGACGAGCAACTTATATGTAAATGAAATCACAAAACAAGTGGTATTGAATCATTATCAATCTGTGGCATGGCCAGGGATCGATTCCATGCTACCTTGGCCTGCTTCGTGAGAAGCGAGACAACGTTCACAATGCTCTAACCACTGAATCCTAGACCGCTGGTGAAGGCTGGTTCTACAACAAGCCATTCTGGCTTACAGTTGCAGGCCAACAACAAGCCATCCTGACTTGTTGTAGATCAACAAGCCATCCTGGCTTGTAGATCAACAAGCCATCCTGGCTTGTTGTAGATCAACAAGCCATCCTGGCTTGTTGTAGATCAACAAGCCATCCTGGCTTGTTGTAGATCAACAAGCCGTCCTGGCTTGTTGTAGATCAACCCATCCTGGCTTGTTGTAGATCAAGCCATCCTGTCTTGTAGATCAACAAGCCATCCTGGCTTGTTGTAGATCAAGCCATCCTGGCTTGTCGTAGATCAACAAGCTATCCTATCTTGTAGATCAAGCTCTCCTGGCTAGTTGTATATCAACAAGCTATCCTGGCTTGTAGTTGTACATCAAGTTATCCTTGCTTGTAATTGTACATCAACAAGCTATCCTGGCTTGTTGTACATCACCAAGCTATCCTGGCTTGTTGTACATCAACAAGCTATCTTGGCTTGTAGTTGTAAATCAACTAGATATCCTGGCTTGTATTTCTACATCAAGCTATCCTGGCTTGTAGTACATCAGCAACAAGCTATCCTGGCTTGTTGTTGTACATCAACAAGCTATCCTGGCTTGTAGTTGCACATCAACAAACTATCCTGGCTTGTAGTTGTACATTAACATGCTATCCTGGCTTGTATAACAAGCTATCCTGGCTTGTATAACAAGCTATCCTGGCTTGTATAACAAGCTATCCTGGCTTGTAGTTGTACAAGCTATCCAGGATTGTAGTTGCACATCAATCTATCCTGGCTTGTAATTGTACATAAAATTATCCTGGGTTGTAGTTGTACATCAACAAGCTATCCTGGTTTGTAGTTGTAGATCAAGAAGCTATCCTGGCTTGTAGTTGTAAACTAACAAACTGTCCTGGTATGTTGTTGTACATCAAGCTATCCTGGCTTGTAGTTGTGCATCAACAAGCTATCCTGGCTTGTATATCAACAAGCTATCCTCGCTTGTAGTTGTGCATCAAGTTATCCTGGCTTGTATATCAAGCTATCATGGCTTGCAGTAGTACATCAACAAGCTATCCTGGCTTATTGTACATCAAGCTATCCTGGCTTGTAGTTGTACATCAACAAGCTATCCTTGTTTGTAGTTGTACATCAACAAGCTATCCTAGTTTGTAGTTGTATATCAACAACAAGCTATCCTGGCTTGTTGGTCAGTGACTTGATTCAAGTTTGAGCGTTAATCTTGCCCAAGGAACTGTCGAAGGTAATGTTTGTGTTGGAGTTCTTGCTAAGCTGGAGTCTTAAAAAATAACTTTATAAAGTAGAGCCTTTTGCAAAGATAATGCCAAAAAAACGGCCAAATTTGACAGTAAAACCCATGGAAATGTGCAGGTGTCAAGTTGATGGTTGGGGATTGTGAGGGAAAAGTAGGCGTGAGTGGGGTTAAGTGGCCTTCCTGTGCAGTTGGATTTTCTCAAGCTGGCACAGTATGCAAGGAGGCGTATAAACACTGTGTACATTGAGTTAGTGCGGGGTGTAGTTATGCCTCAGTCCACACAAGTGATTTTACCTGCAATTATCTGTGACATATATGGTGTTGCGGATCAAGATCTGTACAGTGTGTCGGTCAACAGGGCCTTCTGGATATTTGTCATGTTACGATCGACAGGAGTGTATGAACGACTGGTGGAACAGTATTGAGATGGTGGTGTGGACATCAACTCGGCATTACGTATTCGTCTCATTGATGTGTCGAGGCACTATACTTGGGTGAAGGTATGTAATGTGCCTTTCGAGGCTGACGAGGCGGACCTATGGAAATTTTTTGAATGATATGGCACTGTGCATCTGGCAACGGCAGGTACTTGGGCGGATGGGGCATACGCCGGCATGCCGGAGCGCACGTTCAACCTGAAGAAGACATTGAGGCATTCAGTCCCGTCGTATGTCATCCTAGAAGACTTCCGGACACAAGTGATGGTGTATCATGCAGGGCAGCGCAAGACTTGTATGCAATGTGACGCTTATGACCATATTGCGATCCAGTGTGGAAGAAAGCAGTGATGACAGGAGGCAGAAGGTGGGATGGAGCAGGGGCCTGACCCGAAGGTGGGGCCTGTCAGTGGGACACCTGTACTTGGCCTTGGCTCTTCCTGGAGCGAGGAAGTGAAGAGAGAGTTGCCCATGGTGGAGTCAAGCCCATCAATGCTTGTGGGCTCTATGGTCTCCACTTTGATGGAAGGGAAGACTGAGCCGAGTGGCAAGGAACGTGTGGAGGATGCAGTTCTGGAGCAACTGACGGACAGGCTTGTCGAGACGACGGGTGTTGAGGACGATGTAAGCGAGGAGAGGCAGTCAGCTGACTGCGGATGCTGCTTCGATGGGAGTGGTGACCTGGAAGTGGTGACTGTAGCCGAGGTGGCGGCGGAGATTCATTATGAGGCATCTACAGAGTTGGATGTGGATGCAGAGAGTGTTCGGCGAAAGAGGGCAGCGACACAATCTGACTCGGATGATGTCTTGACCTCAGCGCAGAAGTCGGGGGAGAGAAATAATGGGTAGACATGGTGCATGGAGGCACCACAGCTGTGTCTGGTCAGGTGTTGGACCGGGGGGGGAGGTGAAAACCAAGCTCTCAGTGGAGAGCGTGGTGGGAAAAGTCGACATGCTGGTAGTGCGCCTGTGAAAGGAGTTGCAAGGCAGCATGTAATACCCATTAAGAAGCTTTCAGGTGTATGACTTTAAATGTAAATTGGATGTGTGTGGGTGTGAAGTGTCTGTGGCTCCAGAGGTTTCTCAGGCATTATGCCATAGATATAGTGTTTGTGCAGGAGCATAATTTTCAGGTTGGCCAGGATTTGAAGGTGGATGGGTCTCATGTGTTTGTGGCGTATTCGGAAAGATTGAAGGGAGGAGTTGGGATCCTGATTTGGGAAACGAGCCCATTTGTTGTTATTAGATGTGAGGGAGGGGAGGAAGGG